CTAAAATTAAAAAAAAAAAACAAAACCACTGCATTGCCGTGGAGTCAATTCTGACAAAGAAGTGAAATATAACACTGCCTTTCCCCTGCCCTGGTGTCCTCAGTGAAGCAGTGTTTACCTGATTTTCCATCTCCCCTGGATGTATTGGCTGAGTTGACATGAGGCGAGCTGTGTTTGACATTGTTCCTGCCACGTGGCACTAAGAGTAAAGAAATGAAACCTGAACTCAAGGGTATTTTAAAATTGGGAAAGTCCTGAAAGATCACCCAATCCAGCCTTCTGGTTTTATGGACAGTAAACTGGAGACTAGAGAAGCAAAGTGACTGCCCAAGGTCACCCACCAGCTAATGGCAGAGCCAGGACTATATTCCCCATGCCTGCACACCAGCCCCTGTTTATAGGGCCCTGCGAAGGTGGAATAAACACACAGACAAAGGGAATTTCTAAGCCGTTAAGTACGTGGACTCGAAACACCTCTCCCATACAGACCAGGTCTGGGCCTTGTCCTCAGCTTCCACACTGAACCACATCCCTTTCTCCCCTCAGCCTCAGTTCCCAGGGGGACTGTCTGCTGCTGCCTCTTCACAACCTCCACAGTCCTGCTTTCTATTCCTTGCCTGCATCTGTCCCCACCACCACAGCTGGCCCACCTTCCTTCCTTCCTGAGTCTTCCCACCGGAGGAGTGGCGACTAAGTCTCTCCCACCATTTCTGCTCTGTAAGAGAGAAATGAGCAGAGTTGGGTGGCCCAGAGCGTGGCCACCAGAGCAGGGTCAGGGGCACAACTAAGGCTGCATGCCAGGCACGCAGCTATTGGAGCCCTCCTCAACACCCATGGCTGAGATGCCACCAGCATCTGCCCCAGGGGTTCGGGTGCTTCTGTTCACCCAGAACTGAGAGGCTGAAGTCACCCCACCCCCCACCTTCATTCCTTGATCACCACAGAGCCCTTTACTGTCCATCCATGACCTCCAGTCTGGTTCTTCCTTTGTTTCTTCATGCCTGAGTTGCTCAGACACCACTCTTGTCAGCCTCTCAATCTCACACATGTCACTGAAACCTACGGTGTCCACTGTGGCTGTAGCATCCCCTTAGCTGGTAATAAATCTGGCTTTGTTTTACCACTTGGCAGTCTCCTGTTACTCTCCAGTGTAGCTCCTTCACTCTGTGCACATCTGCTTCCTTATAGATGCCCTCTTCCATTCATCAACAAAGTCCTCCTCCTGGGACTGACACTGAGCCCCTGCCTTAGCTGGTGGCTGGAAGATGCCCTCCTCCATCTTCATCCTCCTGCCTGAATCCTGCTTATCCTTCCAGACCCAGTTCAGGCCCGTCTCCTGCTCACGGCCTCATGCAACCTCTAAGCCCTTACTGAGTGCACCTTTCTCTGAACTTTCCCAGCACCTGGAATCATTGCCAAGTTCTGGGACATTCATTAAGAAATTTTATACTACCCTGGATTGTCCTCAGTCTAATATATGATCATTCTTCTGGTCTCTAGGTCTTTTATTTTGGTTACACAGGTGGTTTGGTGGGAAGATCTTGGACTTTGGGGTCCTTTAGGCCTGAGATTGAATCCTGGCTTTGCCCCCTAAGCAGCTGTGTGACCTTAGAAAAGTTTTATAACCTTCTGAGCCTCAGGTTCCTGATCAGGAGATAACAATACTTGTCCTTCAGATTAGTATGAGAATTAAAGAGAATGGAAATTAATAGATATGGCTAACATTCATGGAGCTATTATTCTATATCAGGTACTCTTCTAAGCCCTTTACATTTCATTCTCTCAACAACTCTATGAGATAGGTACGATTGTTGTTGTTGGCTGCTATCAAGTCAGCTCTGACTCACGGCAACTTTATGTATAACAGAAGGAAACATCACCTGGCCTGTGCCATCTTCATGAGCATCAATATGTTTGAGTTGATCATTGTGGCTGTTGTGTCAATCCATCTCATTGAAGGTTTTCCTCATTTTCTTTGACCCTCTACTTTACCAAACGCAATATTCTTTTCATAGGAACTATTAATAATGTCCATTTTAGAAATGAGGAAACTGAGGCCCAGAGGTTAAGCAATTTGGCTAAGGTCATGCTGCTAGCAAATGACAGAATCAAGATTTTGAGTTAGGCAATCTGACCCCAGGCCTGGAGCTGGCGCTGAGATGGGGGCTACTGTGGCATTCTCACATGTCTCATAGCCTCTGTGTTGTGCCCACACACCTGGGAGGGCCATGCTAATTGCAAAGCCTAGGCTAGACAAGGGATTAAGATACAGTAAATGAACCATAAGCCCCAAATCAGATAAATGACAAAATAAGAAAGGCTTTACCCAAAATGTCAGCAGTTCTAATCTTCCAGATGCTCCCTGGAAACCCTATAGGGCAGTTCTTCTGTGTCCTATAGGGTCGCTATGAGTTGGAACAGACTCAACAGCAATGGTTTTTTTTTGGTTTTACCTGACAAGAAGGTCAGACCAGAACCTCAGCTTCCTGGGAGGGACTGTGCAATCACACACACAAAATTAAACCACCTGGCCCATATTAAACTTGAACTTACCCTCCCCAAAATTTCACCCAGTGTACTAAAGGCTTTATTGGATTCTTTTCTTTGTGCAGCCATCCTGGGGGATTGGAGTTGGAGTGAATTCGTATTGGTTTCTTTATTGAGACATTTTCAATACCCAAGACAACAGTAACTAACATTTACATAGCACTTATTGTGTGTTAAGCTTTGCTAAGTACTTCACATGTATTACATGTATTATATTACTTGCTTTTCATAATAACAATATGTTGCTGTTGTTATTGTTGTTAGGTGCCATTGAGTCGATTCTAACTCATAGCGACTATGTACACCAGAACAAAACGTTGCCTAGTCCTGCACCATACTTAGTTTTGTCTGTGTTTTCTATAATTTTGTCTATTTTTTTCCTTGGTTTTGTCTGTGTTTTCCTTGATCTCTTTCCTAATCTCTTGGAGAACCCTAAATATTAATCTTTTGAATTCCATATCAGGTGGTTCCACTGCCCTTTTCTTCTACTGGAATGATATCTGATTCTTTATTTTGGTCACTAGCCAGAGCCATCTTATCCTGCTTTATTATATGTTTTGATATTGTCTGCTGTCTCCAAGACATTAACGTATTATTTTCTTTATTTATTGATTGTATGTTTGTTTCATCCTACTTTTTTGTTGTTTTTTTTTTTTTTTGGTATGTCAGGGGGATGTAGGACAGGCATGTTTGCTGCTTGTTTGTCTGTGGACATGATAACTCTCACCACCTTGCCCAAGTGGGCAGGGCAGCAGCAGGCAGGCTGAGCCTGCTTTGCTGTACACTGGTTTGGCTAGGTGACTGAGAGCAGACTGGGCAAGTGCTGTCTGCCTCCCAATGTTGGTAGAGGGGTGTGGGAGTGTTCACAGCCCCTCAACAGATAGGCACGGGTGTCAGAAAGGGAGTGGTATGGGCTTACTTTCCACTATTCAGCAGCTGGTCCAGTGGTGGAAGAGGAGGTGCAGCAGTGGGCCTGAGTACTGGGGATGCTCTAGCTTTGGCAGCATGGCTGGGGCTAGCAGTAAAGGGAGGGTGGCATATGGGGTTAGGAGGTAGTGGGGAGAAAGAAAAGAAAAGAGAGAGAAAGAAAATAAAAGTACCTGGCAGGTTGGGGGCAGGGTGGACCAGGGACCAGTGAGAAGGAAGGGAGGTGGCATATGGAGCTAGGTGGGAGGTAGAAATAAAAGAAAGAAAGAAAAAGAAAAAAGAATAAAATAAATGGCAGCTTGATGGTGGAAGGTGGGTGGGGACAGGGCAGACCTGGGGCAGCAGTGAGTGGGCTGGTGTACCAGTAGCACTCTATCTATGGTGGCACAGTGGGGGCTGGCAGGAAGGAGGGGAGGTGGCCTACAGGGCTAGGTAGGAGGGTGAAAGAAAAGTAAGAAAGGAGAAAAGAAAACAAATGGCAGTGCAGTGGGGGCTGGCGGGCGAGGGTATTGTGGACCTGGGGTGGCAGCAGGCCAGTGGCTCTCTAGCTGAGTGGTGCAGCATGGCCCATTGGAAAGGGGTGAAGGTGGCATACAGGGCTAGGTAGGAGGGAGAAAGAAAAGGAAGAAAGGGGGGAAAATGGCATCACATAAGCAGGCTGGTAAGGGAGGGCAGATCTGGGGTGGTTGTGGGCCGGTAGCTCTCTAGCCAAGCAGTGTGGCATGGCCCTTTTGGAAAAGGGTGGAGGTAGTATATGGGGCAGAAAGGTGAGGGGTAGGAAAGCAAGTTTCTCTGGTTACCATGTGCTCTGTCTCCTATTGGGAAGTCCGTGAAGTTGCCTTCTCATACTCCCTGCCTGAGGTTATTGCTGGTTGTGTTCCAGTATGGCAAACCCTGTTCAGTGTTAGTTGGCAAGGGACCTCCATTCTGTATCTCTCCTCGTTCTCTGTTTTCCATCAGTTTCTTCTTCCATTTGGTGTTCGATCTAGTTCTTTATCCCTTCATTTGATGCTTACGGTTCCAGGACTGACGTTTGTATCTATTTTACTCAGTTTTTCAGGTCTTTGCTGGAAAGGGTTAGCATGGTGCATCTGTCTATGGCACCATATTGGCTCCACCTCATTACTGAACATTTTGAGCAAAGATTCTATAGAAGAATCCTGATCAAAAGGGGAAAAATGCAGAACAGAATTTCACATTCTCATGAACTCCAGGCTTTCTGGAGCCATGAGGGCTAGATGAACCCCGAAACTACTGCCCTGAGATAATCTTTAAACCTTAAACCAAAATATCCCTGGAGTCTTCTTAAAACCAAACAATAGTTTAGCTTAACTAGTAAAGAATGTCTGCTTTGAGCATACTGCTCTTTTAAGATCTATCTGTATGGATCAAATTGACAACAGCAACTTGAAAGATTAGATAGGAAACTTGGGAGGCAGTGAGTTTATGTTAATGGGCAAGGAACAAGTCAGAAAAGGAGGTTGAGAATGGGTACACATCTCAAACAATGTAATCAATGTCACTGAATTGTACATGTAGAAACTGTTGAATTGGTGTATGTTCTGCTGACTATACTCTCAGTGGAAATAAAAACTTTTTTTTTAAATTGTATTCTGGGAGGAACAAGCTATCCAGGATTACTGGAAGTGAACTTAGAAGATTGCAGCAAGAGAGGAGATGGAGAAGTTGTTGAGGAGGAAGCATTTGAATGTCTGGACACAGAATCTAGACTTTATTCTACAAGGAGTCACTGATGATCTTGAGGAAAGGAACAACATGATCCCATCTTTGTTTTAAGAAAATAACTAGAATTAGTCGGAAGGAAGAATTGGAGAGGAGAGATAATGAAGACCCTGGAAACTGGTTAGGTGGCTTCTGCAATTACTTTTACCAGTAATTGATCATAAAGAAGATTCTGGCTCATTAAGAAAAGGTTCAGGAAATACAGGTTATCAAGACAGGGAAGTGTGTAATATATTTTATACAAGTTTCTATTTTAAGTGGCTTCCATTTAAAATGAAACAAAAACACCCTGCTGTCTTCAGTGTTAATCTTCAATTATCCCCAAATTTAAGGTAGAAACTTGTCATTCTCCCACTTTGCTAGGTAAGAGATGTCACAATATTAGGAAGAGATTCACCCATTCTTCTAGAGTTTATTGGTAAACTCCAAGAATTGCAATAAACTATAATTTGGTATAAATTAATCCAAAGAATAATTTAATAAGAATTATTTTCTGTTAATATCAAAGTTTAACCTGTATTTGGCTTGTAGGGTTAGGCTCGTTCTTAGCTTCTATCATGTTTTTTCCACAACAAGGCACTGCTGCTGTTGCTTAAAACATGACTTCCCTCATCCAAAGGTCTCCTTCTTGTCCCCATTTCACCTCCCTGATTCCTCTCCTAATGTCTCTGTGAAACTCACATGGAACTGAAGTCAGCAGTCTGCTGAGGTTCTAGAGGATTCAGGGACATTCACCAGGCCCTCTGAAGCAATGGTTGCTCAGTGGGGTGGAAAAGGGCTGGGACACTCTATGGGGCAGTTGTTGATGCCACTCTACCATCTGAGCCTGTTTCTGGTTGATCTCTTACATAGCAGAGTGAATTGTATTTAACCTCTAAGCTCAGTTTATTTGATGGAATAGATACTAACCTTCTCATACTCTAAATGTGTTTTTGAGAAGTGGTCAAATGTGCTCCTTGGCTGTCATATGAATTATGACAACCATTGTACCATCCAGGGACTCCACTGTCAGCACCTGTGCCATATTAGTTGTTAAACATTTATTCTTCAAGATCACAGCTTTATTTATTTACATCTTTTATTATTCATTCGTTCTTCAAGATCGTGAGTTACTCAAGGGCTGAGACCTGTCATTTTCATTTTCATATCCCCTGTGGAGCCTAGGCAGTGCCTGCACCCTGTAGCTCATAAGCTGTGAGTTGGTATGGTGTTGGGGTTCAGAGCATGAGCTTTGGAATCAACCTGCAGGTTCAAATCCTGACTCTACCACTTACTATCTGAGTGACTTTGGGTAAATGATTTATCTTCCTTATGCCTCAGTTTCCTCACAAGGTTTTTGAGAGGGCCAAATGAAGTTAATAGGTGCAAAGCTCTGATAATACTGTCTGCCAGGTACGTTGAAAAAATTTTTTTTCTTAATTAAAAAAAAATAATGGTCAGGGCCAGTGGAAATCATAGACGTTCTCCCCTCATTTTATAAATCTGGAAACTAAGGCACAGAGATGTCAGGTGTCTTGCCTACATTCCCCAACTAGTTAGCAACAGAGACTAGATGCCATTTTGGGCTTATCTGACTCCCTATCCAATTTTCTTCCTACTACACCATTTACACATTGATTCCAAAAAAATCCTTAGAAGCAACAAAGTATGGATTGCAGATCCCTACTGGGTTACTAAAAGGTCCCAGAAATGTCCCTTGATAAAGACTGACATGGGTCAGATGCATCATTGCTCTGCCCCAGTCGGACTTTCTTTATACTTTGAGAATTGATTTATGAAAGAAAAAAGAAAAAAAGCAGCCACAATTGAATGAATATGAGATGACTGTGATAACTGTCCAAAGACAAGTAAATGGGACCAGGAAGTCTAAAGGAAGGGAAGGTGAAGCAGGGTGTTTGTGGATGGGTGGAGCTGCCCAGCTGAGGTTGACACTTGTGCATTCTTTGTTCCCACATGCCATTTCAGGGAGTGCTGCTGATGAAGAGGAGCAGTGGTCAGATGACTTTGTAAGTATTTGCTTCTGGGACCAAGAAGGTACTGTTTCCACCAGGTAGTGGCTTATTTCTGAATTACACACTGCTGGTCAGCTGTCCATAACAGAGGGGAGAGGGCAGAGCTGGAAAGGCTACCTACAGTCAAGGCAGTAATAACCTCCATAAAGGCAGACTTGACCCAGCACTCACTAGGGCCAGGCCTTTGGCTAAGAGCTTTATGTGCTTTCTTCCTGAATCCTTACCACGGCCCTATGAAATAGGTATTCTTATCCTCATATTCAGCATACTTACCAGCACAGCCAAAACAGATGCAAAGATGTTAAAATATATCCATATCGGTTGGTAAATGGCCCCTGCCCTGAACTTCCCAGTGCCTCATCACCAGGGCCCCTGCCCAGGATCCCCGAACAAATCAACAACAAAGAGTTAATGCCTGGCACATCAGGAGGCCTCCAGGACTCTCTTTACTGCCACAGTCAGTAAAAACAACAACAACCAATTGCCACAGAGTTGATTCTGACTCCTGGCAATCCCATGTGTTTCAGAGTAGAACTGTGCTCCATAGGGTTTTCAGTGGCTGTGACCATTCAGAAGTAGATCACCAAGCCTTTCTTCTGAGGTGCTTCTGTGTAGATTCAAACTACCAACCTCTTTGTTAGCAGCCAAGCATCACCACCCAGGGACTCCACTGTCAGTATCTGTGCCTTATTAGTTGTTAAACATTTTGACTATCAGCCATGCCCATTTTACAGATAAAGAAACCAAGGCATGAAGACTTTAAGTAACTTGTAGTTCCAAAATTCAAACCCAGACCCTCAGACCTCAGAACCAGGCTCTTAGCCACCAAGGTGCTTACTGTGACCAGGAGGACATTAGCAGAGCTCCAGGGACCACTGAGTGGGGCAGTGGGACCTAAACATGATGACCTAGGAGGGTTCAGAATTAAATGTCAACCTCTGTGAAGTAGCTCTGCAACCCAGAAGAACCTAAAGGGGGCTGTTGTGGCCACTTTTCTCCTGGGATGAGTCTTATAGGGACAAAACATCTAAAAACTTATCTTCACAACATACCCACTCCTCACTTAGCAGCATGGTTCGGTTCCAGAGACCAGGTCCTTATGTGAAAATCAGCATTATACAAAAATAGAGGATGACTCCATCAGATCACAAAATGGAGGATGACTACATCATTACATAACTACCAAATTACATCATTACATAAATGCCAAAATACATCATTATGTAACTGCCAAACCACTGAGAATCATGGTCCAACCAAGTTGACACATAACATTAACCATCACAGCCAGCATTACTCTTACCTCACACCTCGGCGTTCATTACTGCCAGACATCATTGTTAATGTGCAAAATAGTTGGATAGTAGATTTTTTACTATTGTTATAAATGCAAAATGCCTGATAATGAGATAATCGATACCTGAGGAGTAGGTGTAATGTCTTCTCATTGCACATAGATTAAAACCCAGGTTTGTTACTAAAGCCTTCAGACCTGATAAAATTGGATCCTGGCTGTGGAAACATGTGGGAGAAAAATTGCAGTGAATTTGACAACCTGAAAACTTTTCTTTATAATAATTATTCTTCACTTTCATCACATTTATCCAAAATGTTAGCCTGCTCCAATCTGTGGATTTTACATCTGGAAGAGATTGAAGAGGGTCTCCACACCACCACACACCTCGTTTCACAAATAAGGAAACTGAGGGAAAGAGAATGGAAATGACTTGCCCACCTTCACTCACTTCCCCAGGGGGATGAGAGTAACACCCAGAATTGAGCCTGAGGCCAGCGCAGCACCCTGCATACCTGCAGGAGTGTATTCAAAGGGCTAGGAGAGTGTTCCTCCTTTTCACCTGCAGGGAAGAGGTGGCCTCTCTCTAGTTGCTTGGCTACAAAGCTCCTCCCAGGGTGCAGCGGCCACCGTGGCTGCTGATCCCCAATAGCGCTGCAGTTGCACCCCCTGCTGGATACACACACCTGGGCCACATCTGAAGCCCTGGAAAGAAGCTGGTCCACAACCAGAGGAAAACCAAGAAAAGTGAGCTCACTGACTGGATTTAAAAACGCAGTGGAGCCTTAGGAGACATTGGAAGCACAAAACAAAATCAGCCTGGAGGGGGAGAAAATAACTTGCCCCAAAGTCAAACAACCAAAATTAAGATACTAGCTGTAATAAGAATTGAGTAAACATTAACTCATACTTATTTTTACTTCAGTGGCTTTCCAGTGCACATCGAATAAAACCCAGGCTTGTCATCAATGCCTCCAGGCTTGATGATATCCAACCCCTGCAGACCTGTGCAGCCTTCCGTGTGCACACACCTCATCCGGGCCATGTTCATCACATACCAATGCACGGGCTCCCCTCAGTTCCTAGAACAGGCTAAGGTCCTGCCTACCTCAGGGATTTCAGACTTATGGTCATTGGGCAGAGAAGGGAAGAGAGGAGAAACCAAACCACATTTCCATTCTTCCTCACTTTGTTTCTCGCTCAGCCCTCTTCAGGTTCCATCCTCCTGTTATTCTCTCTTCCAGCCCTCCTCCAGCTACCTCAAGAAAGCTCTCTTTTCATCCTCCTTTCACTTTTCCTTATTCCACCCCTTTAACCCCATTCTTCTCCTTTCCGCCCATCTCCTTACTGACTAAGGAGAGAACAGTCGTCATCCATTCATTCATTTCAAACATACTTACCATGTTTTAAGCCTTGAGAATACAGCAATCAATGAAACAGTAATGACACTACACCTGTATCAGTGTTATAAAGTGCAAAATGAAAGAAGGCAGGCCAAAAAGAAGGTGCATCATCCATTCATTGGACAATCATGTAACAATCATGTACTGATCATCATGCAGTGTGTAGAGTAGCAGGCAGTGGAGTCAGAAAACCTCTTGTGTCCTGAATCAAATATTTCCTCCACATTATTTACACATTATAAATATATATATATATATATATATATATTTGTATACACATAGACTATCTCTGAAAAAAATACACACAAATCTAGTAACATTGTTTGCCTCCAGGGAAGGGAACTGAGGGACTGGGAAGGAGCCTTCATCTTATGTCCTTCTGAACTGTTTGAATTTTGGACCATGTCAATGGATTTTCAATATGGACTTAAATAAAATTTATATCAAAAAAAAAAAAAAAAAAAAACAGAAAGAAAATGGACTCTGAGTCCATTTAAAGCCTAGCCCCTGCAACCTACCAGCTATGCTGTTTTAAAAATCTCATCTCATCAAAGTCTTCAAGAGGTCCCTGTGCATCCCCTTACCCTCTCCCTATGAAACCTACTTTTCCCTCAACCACCAGCATTCATGAAGAGCAAAACATATTGGTAATTCTATTTTATTGAGTCCTTTTCCTGTCTTTTTAAAATACAGTATACTACTATCTTCTTTGTCAGCATACAGTGTTTCAGCCACCCTAAGGATCAAATAGTCCACATGTTCCCCCAGAACAGCACAGTACTCAAGGTGATGAACTTTAGAGTCAGAAAGGCCTGGTTTCAAATCCCAGCTTTGCCTCTTAAGAGCTGCCTAGCCTTGGATAAGTCAGCCTCTCGAAGCCTTGGTCTCATCCATACACTAGGGCCACAGCTCTGCCTCCTAGGATAGGAATTATCCTTGACTAAGCACACATGAGGAACACTGGGCATGGTGTCTGCATTTTCAGGATGGCGATTATGAAAATCCAGACGAGCACTCTGACTCAGAGATGTACGTGATGCCTGCTGAGGAGAACGGGGATGACAGTTACGAGCCACCTCCGGTCGAGCAGGAGACGAGGACAGTTCAGCCAGCCCTGCCCTTTGCCAGGGGCGAGTATGTAGGTGAGGCTGCTCGATAGACACTTGGTGCTCTGCCTGCCAGGCCACGGAGAGGGTGGGAGCAGGCCCAGGTTTCAGTGTGGGGGCAAACCTGGTTACTGCCTGAAGACCCTCTGCTCACCTCCCTCCCACTCTCACCACCTCCAAGCAGGTAATCAGGTCACTCTTGGGTAATGAAGCCCAAGATGCAAAATTTTTCAATCTGAGGGGAAAAAGTATCCTTCCTAAATCTGGATTATTGAAAACAGGAAAAAATAAAACAAGCACACCCTGATGGTAGTTTCCCCCGACTCCCGACAACCCCATGGGAAATCAACCCTGAGATTAGTCCCCACTTCTCTTAGAACTCCCTGTGTACAAAATGCCTAGAATTTCTCTTAAGGAGTCTGTACAGAACCAGTGATAACCTTAAAAGGTCCCAGGGTCTGCTAATGACACTCCTTCCTCTTACACCCGCCAAACAGCTCCACCTCACACTGGCTGGCCTCCTACAAACTGAGTCTAGATTGTGGATTTCTAACTGGGTGGGGGCAGCAGGTAGGAATTGTTGGAGTAGGTCCGTGATTCATTGGCAACCTCATGTGTTAACAGAGTAGAGCTCCATAGAGTTTTCTTGACTGTAATCTTTACAGAAGCAGCTTTCCAGGCCTTTCTTCCATGGTGTCCCTCGGTGTGCTCAAACCACCACCCTTTAGGTTAGCAGCTGATTTCAAACTACTTGTGCCACCCGGGCTCCTAATCCTCCAGGCATACACATGCTTAACATCTTCTGTCTACTCTGTTTGTTAAGATGCTGAACTGTCAGCCTTACTTAGTCTGCAAAGCTCCTCACTCCCCTGGGAGGAGGTTATGAGGGAGACATTATTTTTATAATGTAAGTCAATGGGTAGTTGAAATATTTGGCTAACATTTTACTTTTTTATGATTTATTACTAATAATTTTTGGCTACAGAGATGCTAGTGGTTTTATATTTTCTAGACCTTGGATGGCTTCTGCCCAGGAAATGATCCAGAGCCTCATTTGTCTTGCATTTTTTTTCCTTTCAAGACAATCGCTCAAGCCAGAGGCAGTCTCCACCAGTCAGCAAGACACTTCCCAGTAAGCCCAGCTGGCCTTCATCAAAAGCAAAGCTCTCCTCCACTCTGCCGTCCCTCGCTTCTCTTCAGAAACCTCAAGTCCCACCCAAGCCCAAAGAGCTCCTTGAGGATGAGGTAAACTAAATCTATCCCAAAGACTCCCCCAGAGGATTAAATAAGAGAACATATATATAGCACTAAATACAATTCCTGATACCTAGAAGTGGCTTAATATATGTTGGATTTCTTTCTAGTATATTTTAAATTATTTTTTAACAATTCTGATTTCCAAGGGTATAAATCTCTACATAAACAGAGTGCCATATCTTTCTCCTGCAGAGCCGCTGGTGGTTTCAAACCTCCAAACTTTTGGTTAGCAGTCAAGCACCGTAACCACTGCACCACCAGGGCTCCTTAAACCCGGCAAAGACATCACACACAGAAAAGAAAGAAAATTACAGGCCAACATCTCTTACGAACATAGATGAAAATTTTTTCAACAAAATTCTGGCCAACAGACTTCAGCAACATGTCAAAAAAATCATACACGATGATCAAGTGGGATTCATACCAGGATTACAAGGGTGGTTCAACATCAGAAAATCAATCAATGTAATCCACCACATAAATAAAACATAGGGAAAAGAGCCATGTGATCATATCAACTGATGCAGAAAGGCAGTTGATAAAATTCAACACCCTTTCCTGATAAAAACTCTCAGCAAAATAAGAATAGAAGGGAAATTTCTCAACATAATTAGGGGCATATATGCAAAACCAAAAGCCAGCATTATGCTCAGTGGAGAAAAGCTGAGAGACTCCCCTTGGAGAACCGGAATGAGACAAGGATACCCATTATCATCACTCTTATTCAGCATTGTACTGGAAGTCCTAGACAGAGCAATAAGACAAGAAAGAAAAATAAAAGGTATCCAAATCAGGAAGAAGTAAAACTATCTCTATTTGCAGATGACATGATCTTATACATAGAAGACCCTAAAGATTCCACAAGAATCCTTCTGGAACTAACAAAAGAATTTAGCAATGTTGCAGGGTATAAGATCAACATACAAAAAATCAGTTGGATTCCTCTACACTAACAAAGAGTACTCCGAAAAATAAATCAAGAAAACAACACCATTTACAATAGCCCCAAAATCAATATAATCTTAAGGAAGTAACCTAACCAGGCACATAAAACACTAATACAATGAAAATTGTAAAACACTACTACAAGAGACTAAAAGAGACCTACGAAAATGGAATGACATCTCGTGCTCATCAATTGGAAGACTTATATAGCAAAAATGTCAATTTTACTTAAAGTGATCTATGGATACAATGCAATCTCAATACAAATCTCCACAACATTCTTTACTGAAATGGAAAAGCTAATGGCCAACTTTATATGGAAAGGAAAGAAACTCCAAATAGCCAAAGTAATATTGAAGAAAAAGAACAAAATAGGAGGCCTCACACTCCCTGATATCGAAATATACTATACAGCCACTGTAATCAAAACAGCCTGTTATTGGTTCAACAATAGACCAGTAGAATAGAAGTGAGAACTTAGAATTAAACCTGGCCATCTATGGACAACTGATTTTCAATAATGGGTCAAAGTCCATTCAGTGGGGCAGAAACAGTCTCTTTAATAAATGGTGCTGGAAAAACTGGATATCCACCTGCAGAAAAATGAAACAGGGCCCATATCTCACACCATACACAAAAACTAACTCAAAATGGATCAAAGACCTAAATGTTAAACCTAAAACCATAAAATTTCTGGGAGAAAACTAAGAGACCTAATCTTTATTTAATCTTTTGAACAAATAGAATAACAAACATAACAACAAAAGCATGAGTATAATAAGACAAAATAGATAAATGGGACTTCATAAAAATTAAAAACTTATGCTCATCAAAACAATTAAAAGAGTAAATAGACAATTTACAGACTGGGAAAAGAATCTTCAGAGATGACTAATCCAATATGAGCCTAATCTCTAAAATCTGTAGACAACTGCAACAACTCAGCAACAAAAAGACAAACAACCCAATCACAAAACAGACAAAGGACATGAACAGAACCTTCATCAAAGAGGACATCCAAGCAGCCAACAAACATATGAAAAGATGTTCATGATCATTAGCCACTAAACCCACTGTCGTCAAGTCAATTCTGACTCATGGCAACCGTATAGGTCAGAGTAGGACTGCCCCATACAATTTCCAAGGCTGTAAATCTTTACAGAAGCAGACTGCCACATCTTTCTCCTGTGATAAGTATCTGTAAAAAAACAAAACAAAACAAAACACACAAAAACCATTGACATCGAGTCGATTCTGACTCATAGCGACCCTCTAGAACAGAGTAGAACTGCCCCTTAGGGTTTCCAAGGAGCGGCTGGTGGATTTGAACCGCCAACCTTTTGGTTAGCAGCCGAGCTCTTAACCACTGCACCACCAGGGCTCCGATAAGTATCTATAGGTACATGTAAATACAAATGTGTGGATGCAGGCACATATATTCATTGAACACACAAATATAGATACTCCTCAGACATAACCAAACACTTTCCAAGATTGGTTTTCTAGGTTTGAAAGCTTAGAACCATGTTCTCATGGACGACTCAGTCAACTGGCATAACATAGTTCACAAAAATTGTGATCTGCATCCTAATGAAGTGAGTAGCACCTGGGGTCCTAAAAGCTGTTGAGCGGCCATCTAAGATACAACTACTGGTCTCTACTCACCAGGAGCAAAACACTAAGAAGGTAACTGTCATGGTTTGAATTATGTCCCCCAAAAAATGTATCAATTTGGCTAGGCCATGATTCCTGGTACTGTGTGATTTTCCTGTA